ACTTACCATCTCACGGCAAGGCGGTGCTCTCACTGCTGGGGAAGAATTTGCTGCATGCATCTGACCTCGCCTCTGGTCGCCCTGCCATTCCTGGGCTTATAGAGGCATCAGCTCTATCTTCCACCCTCACATCATTCTCCTCAAGTGTGTCTGTGCCTAAATTTACCTTTTTTCTACGGACGCCAGTCACATTGGATTCAGGCCACCATAATGATCTTCACTTGGTGGAATCCGCAGACCTAGATTTTTAGATACTATACTGTAAAATCACAGTTGCAGGTGCTGGAAATTAGGACTTCAACATATCTTCTTTTAGTAGACAGTTAAATCTGTGATAGGGATTTAGACCTCCTGAAACAATCCGGCCAGTCACTAAGCAAATACATAAGCAAACCACAACAAGCTCTGGGCAGGAGCCAGTAGTGAGTCGCTACAGTCTCCTGCCTGAAACTTTTGATTCCACAGGGTGTCCAAAGAAACAGGGAAGTCTGACCCACACAAGAAAAGCCTTAGGCAACAGAAACTGCCCGTGAGCAGGGCCAGATGTCAGATTTAGCAGGTTTCAAAGCAGACATCGTAAATTGCCCCCCCAAATAAAGTGAACCATGATTTTAAAAGTGAAGAAATATGGGGACAAAGAAGGGGAAGGGAGAGTGGGTGGTGGGAGGGTGATCGGTCGGTCCACACCTGTGGTCCATCTTACACAGGTACATGTGAATCTTCTAAATGCAGAATATAAATGTCTTAACACAATAACTAAGAAAATGCCATGAAGGCTATGTTAATCAGTTTGGTGAAAATATTTCAAATTGTATATAAAACCAGCACACTGTACCCCATGACTGCATTAATGTACACAGCTATGATTTAATAAAAAAGTGAAGGAAGATGTGATGACAATATCACAGCAAATAGAGAATATCAACAAAGACAGAAATTACAAAAATAATGCAAGCCTGGAAAATTGAAGACTCCTCTGGAGCAGCAGTCCCCAGCCCTTTGGGCAGCAGGGACCATTTTCATGGAAGACGGCTTTCCTTTGTGGGGATGGGAGGAAATGGGAGAGAAATTTGGGTCTCATAAGGAATGCTCAACCTAGATCCCCCATGGGCAGTTCATAGTAGGGTTTGTGCACCTACGAAAGCCTAATGCCACCGCCCATGCGACAGGAGGTGGAGCTCAGGTGGTGGTGTGAGTGGTGGGGAGAGGCTGTGAAGACTGGTGAAGCTTCACTTGCTCCGTACAGGTGCCTGGCCAGGGGTTGGGGACCCCAGCACTAGAGGACCTCCACAGTAGTTTTAACAGGTGGCAGAAAACATTAGCAAACTTGAAAATAGAGGAAAGAGATTATGTAATCCAAAAAAGAAACAGGAAAAAGAGATTGAAGAAAAGTGAAGAGAGCTTCCGAAAAATGTGGCTCGAATATACCAATATATACCTGATGGGAGAGGAGAGGAGACAGAAAAAGTGTAAGAAAAAATATTCAAAGAAATAATACCTGAAAACATCCAGATTTATTGACCAACAACCCACACATCTGCAAAGAACAAACTCCAGGTAGAGGGAACACAAGTGACTCCCAGACAGACCTGTCCTGTCAGGGGTAAACATGCCGGAAGTCAAAGGCTTGGAGAAATCTTGAAAGCAGCAAGAGAAAAGCAGCATGTCACTTACAAGGGAACCCAGCAAGTGCTGGTTGACTTTGTAGTAGAAACAATGGAGGCAGGAGGCAGAAGGATAAGGTATTTGAAGTGCTGAAAAAAAAAAACTCAATGGGAATCATACATCCAGCAAAATGAACATTCAATAATGAACATCAAGTCGTTTCCTAGATGAACAAAACCTGCAAGAATTTATTGCTAGGTAGACCCTCCCCAAAAGAAATACTCAAGGAACGTTTTCATGTTGGAACGAGTAACTCCACATGGTAATTCACATCCGTGCAATGAATGAACACCAATAAAAGTCACTAGGTAGGTGAGGCGTGGTGGCTCAGCCTGTGATCCCAGAACTCTGGGAGGCCGAGGCGGGAGGATTGCTTGAGCCCAGGAGTTCAAGACCAGTCTGAGCAAGAGTGAGACACGGTCTTTACTATAAATAGGAAAAAAAAAAAAAAAAAAAAACTAGCTAGGCATGCTGGCACACACATATAGTCCCATGTAATTGGGCGGCTGAGGCAATAAGATATCTTTAAGCCCAGGAGTTTGAGGTTGCTGTGAGGTATGAGGAGGCCACAGCACTCCAGTCTGGGGCAACAGAGTGAGACTCTGTCTCAAAAAAAAAAAAAAAAGTCACAGTGTAACAATAACAACAACGCTATTACTGCATTTTCTTTTTATTCTCTTAACTAAATTGAAGGCAATTCTATAAAATAATATGTATGTAACATATTACGGTACCAATGAAACATCGAAATGTAATATATATCTATTTGCCAATGACAGCACGAGGAGGGGTGGATGGGAGCAAAGCTGTCATGGGCTAATGGACGTAAAAATAACCCACAACAATAGAATGAAGAGAGTAGAGCTAGCTGTGTAGGAGTCATGTTTCAAGTAAGCTGATTTTGATACATTGTGAGGAAGTTGAGTCTATACCAAGAAATCAAGATGGGTTTACTATTTAAAAATCTATAGGGTAATTTACCACATTAAAAGCTTAAACGAAAAGGAAAGCTTACAGACAGACGATAATACCCAAATACCCACTTACGTCAGGAAGTGTCTGACGTAATATTTATTCATGATTTACAAAAATTCTTGGGAAATTGGGAATCAGAAGAAACATCCTAAATCTTACTTAGGCTATCTATAAAATTCTACAGCAGTAGTCATATCAAATGATGAGGCATTTTTTAAAATGCTTGCTTCTACTTCTATCCAGCATTCTTTGGAAGGCTTAGTTCAAATTGGCAATGAACTCCGGGCGTGGTGGGCCCACCTATAGTGCAGTGGGCAGGAGGGTGGCTTGAGGATAAGGGTTGAAGGCTGCGGTGAGCTGTGATCACGCCACTGCACTCCAGCCTGAGCAACAGAGACTCCACCATCTGTTTAAAAAAAAAAAAAAAGGAAGAATGGAAAGTAAGCAATGAAACATTGAATATTTATAGATGACTCAATTGTCTACATGATTCAAAATCACCTACTGATAAATTATTTATAGAATAACAACAAATAGTTCAGAATTCTATTTTTCAGAAGAAAGAATTGGGTATTTTCAGTGCTGCCATTTATCATAGCACTAACATTCATCAAGCACTTTGTGAAAACTATAAAATTTTCTTGGGACATATTGAAAAGGACTTAAGCAAAAGGAGAAATAGACCATTATCGTGCATAGAAAGACTCCATATTTTAAGCATATAAATTATCCCAAATTTTGATTTATAGATTCTTTATAATTTTAATCAAAATCCCGACATTTTTCATCTTCCCCTCCCCCCCAGAAATTTATCATGATATTTCTAAAATTTATACGAAAATTCTAAAGGCTAAACATAGCCAAGATACTCTTGCATCAAAATGTTGTGGAAGCCCGTGCCATGCTAGACACCAAGCTCCAAAGATGCGCAGTGTTAGCCAAGGGCTAGACAGAACTTCAGATGGCCTGAGCATGTATAAACCAACACTTGTTTTATAATAAATGTGCATTGCAGAGTAATGAAGAAAGGACGGGGTTTTTTAAGTCTTGTTCAGATAACTGGATATTCTTATGAAATGAAAATATATTGACCTTCTTCATACGCTATGCAAAACTCAATTCCAGTTTATTCTAGATCGAAGTATGAGAAGCAACATACATAACACTGTATTTTTACATCTGCAACATGAATAGATATAAAGTACATAAGAATAACACCACGTTTGGAACTGAGAATGTTTTTTTAAAGGAGACATTTAAAGCACAAACCATAAAGAAAACAATGATGAATTTGAGCACATTAAGAGTAAGAACTTAATCAAATACACGGAAGAAATTTTCAACTCATACAGCTAAAGAGACTTATATTCAGAATATTTTATGAACTACATTATCAATAAGAAAAAATCATTCCCTAAAAAGTGTGAAAAGGACTTGAGTGGCAAATTTTCTTCTCCAGAAGGAAACAGTGGTGGGAACAAGTATATGGAAAAGTTTTCAGCTTTACTGGCATCAGCGTTCTCCACCTCCACGCTGGTCTCACTAGAAGGTCCTCAGAGACCGTGGCTCGCAGGCAGCTGTCGTGTCCTGGGATAACAGGGCCTTCTTTTGCAATGCCTCCTAAAGAACCTTCCTGAGGCTTTTTACAGTTAATGTTTTAGATAAGTAAAAAAAGTATATTCTAAAAAAATAAGAAAAACATAGTATAGTAAATACATAAACCAGTAACACTGCTGTGTATCCCAGGGATGGTGCCCTGTACGTAACAGAGCGTGATGACTTTTCTTCGACTAGGGGCAGCAGGTGGTTGTACCAGCATCAGCACAAACGTATGAGCAATGCATTGTTACATCATCATGATGGCCAGGATGTCACCAGGTTGTCTTCAGCTCCATCATAACACAGACATATTGTGGGGCCACTGTTGTCTATGTGGCCTGTTACTGACCGAACCATTTTGCAGCATTTGACTGTAAACAAAAACTAGATAATAACTGAATAAATGGTTATTAATGAAATGTTGCTTAAAAATATTTTTAAAGGCTTATCATACAATATTAAATACACCAAATATTAACAATCTGGATACAGATTGGTGTATTAAATACACCAAATATTAACAACCTCTCCGGTTTTCCTAAAGTTAAAATGTGCATAAGTAAAACATGAATAAGGTTTTTAGAAAATGCGTAACTGGTTGAGAAATGTGTTAAGATATCATCCAATTTTTCATGTTTGTCCTATCGTAAGAACAGTATACTTTTCTTTTTTAATACTGTACTTATTTTCTGTTTTCCAGGATTTATTATTTAGAAATCACATCTGTTTTAGTTATTTGTTTTAAATAACCATTTTCATAGGTATTTGATAATGATGGTGTTGACGTCACTCCGCGGCCTCTTTACCACCCAGATCCACTGACTGGTACCGCAAAGCCCAGTAAACTTTTAACATCACAGGAAGGGTCACTTGGATCAGAATTTATATCTTCCTACAGCCTTTATCAGAACACTTTAAACCCTAGTATGCTAGGGCAGTTTACAAGGTAAAGTATACTCTTCTATAGTTCCTTTTGGTATCATATACTAACATACTGTCTTTCTGTTTAAATTCATGTATATAATGTAGCTATCAGTAATGTCCAGTCCTTCCGCTTGAATCTATCATCCGATTACACCATCTCTCTGTTCCTCTCATGTTTTAATTAGATGTAGAGCTCTTCCTGTCTTAGGAGTTCCTGCATTCTCAGAACAAAGCATTTGAAAAACTACATACAGTAGACCCTACCCTAGGTGACCACCTCCCTCCAGTGACCATCTCCTTAAATTGACCTAAATTTCACAGACTGGACATGCACCGCATGTAGGTGTCAGCACAGCGGGCCTTGTTCCTTGTGGTCACCACCTCGGTGTGCTGACCCTCTGGTTACAGTCCCTGGCGGTCACTTACAGAAGTTCTATATACTGCATTCTGCTCAACATTTCCTGGGGATCCAAAACATGAGGCTAACTTCACACACAATTAATTGCAAATTCCCACTAGATGTTTTTCCCTAGCCTGTCCTTGTGGGATCTCACGAGAAGGGGTAGCTTTCTGCCAGTTTCTGCTCTGCTAGGGTTCGGCTTCTTTCTTATAATAAGGACAGTTATATTCCCCTCTACTGCTTGTCTTCACATCTGCATATGAAAACACGAGATTTCCCAGTGAAATAAAGGATAATCCAGTAAACTTGACGTAATTGTTTGGTGGGCAGTGAGACTATAAATACAAAGAGGGGAAGCACATAATATCCCCAGGTGATGTTAAGTTCCTATGTTTGAGGAAATTATTTTTTGATTCTTCCATTGATTTTTCTTCTGAATACATATATTTTTTTGATTAAATCTTGAGAAAGGACCTTTATAAAATTGCACAAATCACATTTTCAAGGTGAGACTTGAACAATGGGGGGAAGCTGGGTGAAAAATGAGGGAAAGAAAGGAAGAGTATTGTAGGCTAAATCCCTGGAGTAGGAGTGCTCGGTAAGATTGAAGAGCTGGGAGGAAGGTAAATGAAGACGGATAATGGAGGCGGGAAGAGTTGGCACGGTGAGTTTGGGATGTGGGCCTTAAATGTATTAGGAATTGATCAAAGGACTTTAAAGTTTCATGGGTGTTTCCTCTGAAACAATTTAAGTAACTTTTTAATTTGATAAATATTAAAAATCAACTCATTGATTAAAAGTAAAGTTACTTTGACCTTATAGAGTATATTTTATTCCTCCATCTGATACTATGTTCTCATTTAAATATTTAATTGCCCACAAGGACTTCTAGATGAATGAGTAATGTTGTTATTCATTATTAAAGGTCAGCTATAGGAAGCAGCACAGTTTCTAAGTCAAGCATATCAACAACTGAATCAATAGCGGAAGTCTTAGAAGAGCCGTTGTTTAAGCGGGAGAGACTGGCTAGTTTCACAGGTAACATGAAGGCACTTACTCATTTGGTAACGGTCTGTTATTTATTAGTCAATATGTTTACTGTTTGTCGGGTACTTGAAATAAAAGAATATGGTAATGATTTCCACACTCTGGCTTATACAGCAGCTACACAAGAACTACCAGGGGAATATATCTATAGCTCTCTCTCTCTCTCCATGTATATATTTTTAATTTTCTTTCTAAGGCGATGTTTTGGGCTTTCAGCCTGAGGACTCACTGGCTGTGTGTTAGAGCTCAACTTTTTCCCTTATCTTTCTTCTTTCCTTCCTTCCTTCCATCTTTCCTTCCTTCCTTCCATCTTTCCTTCCTTCCTTCCTTTGTTCCTTCTTTCTTCCCTTCCTTTCTTTTCTTTCTTTCTTTCTCTCTCTTCTTTCCCAGTGTCTCACTCTGTCACAATGAGTACAGTGCTGTGGCATCATAGTTCACAGCAACCTCAAACTCTTGGGCTCAAGCTCCCCAGTAGTGGGGACTACAGGTGTGTACCACAATGCCCAACTGTTTCTTCTATTTTTAGTAGAGACAGGGTCTTGCTCTTGCTCGGGCTGGTCTTTAACTCCTAAACTCATGCAATCCACCTGCCTCAGCCTCCCAGAGCGCTAGGATTACAGGTCTGAGCCACCGCACCTGGCCTAGAGCTCAATTTCTTTTCTTTTTCTTTCTTACTTTCTTTCGTTTGAGACAGAATCTCACTTTGTTGCCCTGGGTAGAGTGCTGAGGTGTCATAGCTTACACCAACCTCCAACTCTTAGGCTCAAGTGATCCTCTTGCCTCAGTTTTTCATTTTTAGCAGAGACAGGGTCTTGCTCTTGCTCTTGCTCAGGCTGGTCTTGAACTCCTGAGTGCAAGCACTCCACCCACCTTGGCCTATCAGAGTGCTAGGATTCAAGGTGTGAGCCACTGCGCCAGCCTAGAGCTCAGTTTCTAAGTCGGGAGACAAATGATTCTGAGATATTTGTGATTAGCTTCATAATGATATATGCAGAATGTGATAGGAGCGAGTAGAAAGGAGTGATTAACTGCTCTGGGGTGGAGAAGACCAGCTTCACAGAGAACATTATCCAAGAACAAATAGGGGGAGGCCAGTGCAGGCAGAGGATAAAATACAAGGTAATACAAAGGATTATGAAAATGAAGAGACAAGCATGAAGAAATAATACATGATCACAGTGCTGGGAGGAAGAATTGCATATTTGAAGGATGCTTGCTCTGGAGTGCAATAAGGATGGCTTTTTCTCTGAAATCACAACGTGTGATTGGTGGAAATACTGATAAGGCTGGGAAAGTGGTGCTTTGTGCACTGTGCTGGCCAGTGCTGGCGTAACAGGAAAGCTCTGACACAGTAACAATACACAACCCACGGGACGCCTCAGTGTTTACGTTTCTCACATTGAAAGGAGAGGTGGATTTTATCTTTTTTTTTTTTTTTGGCTCAATTTTGTCAGAATTTGGATTGTCAGTTCTGCTATTCTCCTTTCCAAAGCCTTTTCTTCTTGTCTCATGGTCTCAAAATATCTTCCTCAGCTCTGGGCATTTTATCCACATTAAATGCAGACAGAAAGTAAAGACAGTAGCACGAGGCACATTGCTCCGGTTTATCAGGAGAGTAAACAAGTTTTCCAGAAGTCTTTCTCCCGTTGCGTTTCTGCTCTCATCTTATTGGCCAGAGCTGTGTCACATGTCTGCTCCATCCTTCGCGTCCGGAAAGGCTGGGAAAGCGAAATTCCAGAGACTTTGTATCCCTGTTAGAGGGAGGGAAGGGGAAGGCGGGATGAGAGCCGCGAGCGGGCGGGCCTCCCCGGGGCGGGGGGCGGGGAGCGGGGAGCGGGCTGCACCCTCCGGCTCGCTCTAGACGCCGTCCAATCTATTTTAACAAACTGTATCCAGAACGATTTTTAAGAAGCACAATCTAATCACATTCTTCTCGGTTTAAAACCCTTAAAGGGATTTGCATTGTTCTTAGGCAAGGACTAACTCTCTACGTGTTGATCTGCTTGGAGTCCTTCCTTCGCGGTCTCTACAGGAAAAACGAAACGCGGCCGGTTCAGACGCGGCTCGTGCTGGTGAATTCCACCTGCAAAGTCAGGCTCCAGGGGGACGGCACCTAAACGATTCTCTTCCTGTCTGGCGTCCGTTTGAAACTAGAGCAGTGTTTTTCTGTCTTGAATGGGCGGGGAAATCACCTGGTTCGCCTTTTGAAACCCCCGTGGCCAAGTTCCACCCCAGGCCAACTGAAGTGGGATGTCCAGGAGCAGGTTTCCTGCCTAAGTGGGGCCCCGCTGGAGGCTGCTCCCCGCCGGCGAGGGACGCCCCTGTACGTTAGCCAGTTTCCCGGTCAGAACTCTCCACGGCAGCTCCCAGCTTCCAACGTAAAATTCTGAATGGGAAGTTGGGAACAGAAGCTTAGTAGTATACCATTGTTAGAATTTCCACCATACTTGAAAATAGGCATTTTAAATAAGAGCAGAGTTTAGACATTAGTAAAATTTAATAACATAATTAGGAAGTGATGAGTCTTGAGTAATTATCATCTTTGTTTTTAATATGATTTATTTAATGGTACGTTGATATAACTTAATTTTGAATAATGACTGTTTAATAACTCACAAAATTCCCCAAATTTAACAATTGGCTCTTACAAGCTACTCTAAAGATAAAAATATCTTTAATTTTTTCCTAGGTGATTCTAATGGATAGTACTTTTTAAAATTAGTATTAAAAATATTGATGTCTAGGTCACATGCCCAGAATGTTAATTTAATTATTATGAAATGGTCCTTGATCATCAGAAATTTTAAAAGATTTCCAGGTAATAAGAAACGTGTAGGAAAGATTGAGAGGGGGTGGAGGATGAGGGCTAAATACAAACCTCTAGTACCTGGTGCGCCACACGAACACCAAATTCAACAAATTTATGGAAGGAAACAACTTGAGAATAAAAAAAATTAGGTGAGTCCGTTTTATTCCTAAGGTCAACCAGAACTTCTAGTCTGTCTAGCTCCTGGTGAAGATGATTAAAGATGAGACATAATCTAAATTAAAAGGCATAGACTAACACCAAATGAAGAACAAAGGGTTGCTATAGATTTAATCAGAAGTTAACTACAGGGCTCAAAAAGGACTTGCATACTAAGTCCCCTAATATACCTGCCTCCATACCCTTCTTGAGTAGAGACAACAGCCATCCACCCTGATCTCCCTGCTAATATTGTGGGGTGGTTTGAACAGGATGCCCGCAGGGTTAACAACAGCAGGTGTGGAACTGAGGCAGATTGACTTGTCAGCACAGAGACTGTGCGTGGGTTGTGAGATCCTGTTTGGCTTCAGAGACTGAAGAGTGCAGCTCACAGCACGGCCTGCTCCTGGACCGTGTAAAGCCACCAGCAGTGTATGACCCTCTATGGAGTTATGTGACTAGGAGGAAAAATGCAAATTAAAAAATAGCAATTAGGCTCGGCGCCTATAGCTCAACTGGCTAAGGCGCCAGC